AAGGAAGGAAGGAAGGAAGGAAGGAAGGAAGGAAGGAAGGAAGGAAGGAAGGAGCTGCATTTACGTGCCTTTTTCAGCACTCTGAGGCATGTAGCCGATCATTCTTATCCTCCTTGTTTTGCAAAGGACTGAACATGTTGGCTTAAGGCAGCAATGTGGGCAAATGTGATTTATTCTTCTCATTCTTCCCTTCATGCAAGCTGATGAAGAAGCCGGGAATGTCAGAGTTCAAAGTTGCATTTGACATCCAAATCACAAGCTGTGATGAAATGCCTGGATTCATAAACCAAAAACAAGCCAGGATTCATAAACCAATAACAAAGCCTAGTTTAATCCTGCCTAATTTCCCCTTCTTCATTTGCTTACTTAATTGTGCCAAGAGGTACGCAGTAGCTGCGTGCAAAAGGATTTTGCTTAACTATAACACTCATAATGTTGATATGCTAAATTGTAATTAATATTGATAGACCATACACTTTTTTTTTTCTTCTTCTTTACTTCCAGTACTCTAAGGTGGCATTTCTCAACCTCAACAAATTTAAGATGTGTGGCTGGGGAATTCTGGCAGATGAAGTCCACATATCTTAACCTTGCTGAAGTAGAAAAACACTCCTCTAAGGTATCTAAATAACAGAATATCAAGAATTTAATTATACTATATCAATATCATCGTACTGAAATAACATCATGTATCAAGATTTATAACAACACAATAAAAAGGAAAAAATATATTAAAGTATTTTGCTCAAGGTCTCTCTGCTAACAATCTGAGGCATTGAATTGGCCAATGCAACATTGAATTCCTTCTTATACACAGAAATAAACCTGGCTCACCCTTCACGCCAAACCATGGTTTCATTAATGAACCAGATTTATATTGTGCAGCCTGCCTTGAAACCCTGCATGTTGCACTAAGCTTTACTTTTGATTTTGCATGTTATGATAATCCCACCAATAAACCAGATCCTAGGATATGTGAATTGAGCCCAAGGCCTTCATGTGGAGGATAAACAAACATTCAGAATACACTTTTCAATAGAAGTTCCAAATAATGCCACAGAGCAAAACTCTTCCTGTTTGTCTGTTTGTGAACAAGAACAGGAAACACCGCAGCAGTGCCATCAAGGCGGATAATAAACCAAGGAAGACTTTTGGCCATGGTTATGCAGTCATAATAGAAAACACAGAACTCTATATCAGAAAAAAAAACATGTTCTCAGGGTTCTGGTTTCCATTCGGCACACACTGACATTCTGGAACAACTAGGTATCTGGTGCTGTCACAGATACTATGCATCACAGTTGATTGAGTAAGGTAGTGTGGTCCGGCTTTGCAAGTATGTGGTAACATCTGCCTAGTTCAACACCTGCTTACTCAGGACAAAAACTGCAGTGCTGTTGGCAGAGGTGATGAAACTGCCTCCAAATTCCCAACTTCAGGATTCTTAGATTTCTATCAGTGGCTTGGTTTCCGTTGGGCCAAAGTCAACAATCCCTAATCCAAAAGTGAAGTCATACCGACATGTCAGAATATCTTCAGTTGCATGTAGGACTTTGAACCAAAGGCTTGGGTTTGACCCACATGCTAAGGCTGCATTGGTGCAATTCGACGCTGGTTACAGAATTAATCCATTTTCTGAGACTGAGCTATAGATCAAGCCAGCTAATGGATTAACCAAATAGGCAAGGTTCACACAACACACTAAGCTTTGTTACCAAACAACACTATTCAATCTGTACATGCAGTAACATAAAGCTGCTGGGGGAATTACCTATGTCCTTGAGTGGAAAATATGCCAAAATAGAATATGGAGGAGATATTTATTGGCACTAGTAAAGATGCGAAAATAACATATTTGTAGATACATTCACCGTTCAGACTGTTAGAAACCCCATTTTTAAAATGTTCTGCTTTTTTTCTTTTTTTTTCCTTTTTTTTCTCCTCTTTTCTTTCTCTGAATTTTTCCTTCTTTACTATGTTTCTTCTTTTCCATGTATATATTCTTCTATGTCATACTTTTGCATATATATCGTTATATGTCACTGGTGTTTTGTATGTATCACGCAATGTCTTATATGTATTCATTTGCTATTTTTAATTAATAAAGTTTAAAAAAAATTAAAAAAAGAATGGCAAACTCTTTATGTATCACGCAATGTCTTATATGTATTCATTTGCTATTTTTAATTAATAAAGTTTAAAAAAAATTAAAAAAAGAATGGCAAACTCTTTATGTATCACGCAATGTCTTATATGTATTCATTTGCTATTTTTAATTAATAAAGTTTAAAAAAAATTAAAAAAAGAATGGCAAACTCTTTATGTATCACGCAATGTCTTATATGTATTCATTTGCTATTTTTAATTAATAAAGTTTAAAAAAAATTAAAAAAAGAATGGCAAACTCTTTTCAGGTTAGTGCCAAGAAAATAACACGGAGGTGTCCAAATAGTCACCAGGAGTCCAGTTTGACTGGAGGTGAAGATGCATTGCTACCTTTTCAGGTGATATAAGCCCCTAGCTGAACCTGGCTAACCTGGGGAGGAAGGGGAACCTCCTAAAATGGCTCAATCCTAGTCAGTACTTGGATTGGTGTCCACTAATCCCAGAGTTAAAGGCTCAACTGAGATGTAAAAAACAAACAACTTGGCAGACGTTAATCATAACCCACTTCTGTATTATTGCCAAGAAGTAAACATGGGCGTGTTCATGAAGACACCAGGAATTAAGCTCAACTCGAGGGAGATTTTATTTTTTTTATTGGAGATACTTTGCTTGAAAGAATAGATTAGGGATAGATCATCATGGAGAAGGTCTATGTGGTCACTAAGAGTCGAAAACAATTTGATGGCACATCAATCAATCAATCAATTTTGCTTGATACTTGGGGAAAAATACTGTAGAATAGTATGTGATGATAAATAGTGTGTGACGAGTCCACAGTGTGATCAATTGACCTGTACCGTAGCTTCCAAATCATGGGACATAAATAGTTCAACTTTATTCCGCTTTAGTCACATCCCACCAGGAAGGATTCAGCCAAACTGGAACAGATTCAGAGAAGGTAATGAAGATGATCAAGAGACTGGAAATTACGTTCTATTAAGAGTTTAAGGCAGATTCTGACTGAACGTTTAAAAAACATTTAAGAATAAGTGCAGCCAGTGACCCTGAGAGGTAGGATGCTCCCCTTGGCTGGATGTGTTCAGGTGGATACTATCTTTGGGATGTTTCAGTTTTAATTCCTGCCCTAAGCAGGAAGTTGGTCTTCCTGGCCTTAGAGGCCCTTTCCAGCTCTTGTCATTCTCCATCGAGAGAGCACCACAAGAAAGAAGACTGAGTGACTGGCGAGGTTTAAGCCACATCCTAAGCCATAATTCAGTTTGCTTGTTTGTGCCTTAGCATGGTTTGTAAATCTAGGCATTGTGATGCATGACAACCTAAGCTAGTTTTGGTTTAATCACAAATCATGGTTGAACAATATATCATGAGTGGCTTTGGGCCCGTTTTGCAGGGGAAAATGGGAACTAGATGAAGAATGTGAAACTGGTTAAGTTGGGCTTTTGGTCCAATGCCAACAGAATGAATCCTTTCCCAGTCCTAGCTGGTAAAGGATGTGCTTTACAATACCATCATCACACTTTTAGTCTCCTCAAAACCCAGCACATTCAAAAGAAGGTTGTGTTTTCCCAGGCAATCTGATGTGCAAATTAAGCGCCTCCTAAAATGCTCAACCGCCACACTCCATAAACTTTGCAAACTGCAGAGATCCCATTGATCTTTCATTGCCTTCCAATTTCATTGCTCTCCGCCCCTCCGTTTCCCCCCCACCAACCCGTGGGATTTGCCGGTCAGGTAAGAACTCCAATTAATTGAATGATACTGCAATGTCAGGTTTTTACTGTATTTTCTTAAAGTACTTTCTCTCTCCTTTGAGAGCCATCAGAAGTTATACCAAGAACCATCTTCTTAAATGTGTCCTTTCTGCAAAAAAGACTTTATGATGTAGAAAGATAATAGATCTATAATAATATTTAAATGTCACCGTCTGCAGAGGCGATGGGGAAAAATAATGTGGCTTTGCAAAAATGAAGTTCATAGCAAACAGTTCTTGATTTGAATACTCTGAATGAATGGAGTAATAACTTTGTCATTTTTATAAACTCAAAGTTATGCATCGTATTTGCAGATCTGTGCGAGAAAGTAAAATACTTCCTCTACCTTTCTAATCTCCCCAGCTGAATTGACTTAGACTCATTCAACCCCAACAAAAACTCCATAGATTAATTCAACTCAAATAAACATTCACACATTATGGTAAGCCATGCTTTCAATAAACCATGGTTTACTGAAGAAGCCATAATTTAATTTTTTAAACTATGTTCTGCAGAGAAGCGGTGATCCCCACAAAACCTGTTCCATGAACTGCTTCCAAGGAAAATAATTTCTTTGTAGTTATGGGAGCCATCTAGTTCACTATAGGAATGGATGAATGAAGAACAGATGTTTACAGATCACTCCCCAGAGATCACAATGAAACCTTTTCTAAAAATCCTTTGAAGATTTTGAACAAAAGTTCACACAAAAGATCAGTTTTTAATTGAAAAGGCACTAAAGGGCCAGTTCTCTTTTCCTTCCATGTATCTTTGTGAAAGTGGATTTCCAGTACTCACTTCAACGAGGACCAAATAACAAATAGGCTAAATATGACATTAAGACTTGCTTTAACAAATCTCACTCCAGATATTGAGGAAATGTGCCATATGCAAATTCATACATCCCATTAAGATTTCTAAGGGATGCACGAAATGCTCAGGTTATTATTAAAACATGTTATATTTCAATATTTATCTTCTTTTTTTTTTAAGACAGTGACACAGGTGTTACAGGATGAGCTCACTGCCAGACACTAAAGACTGAAAAGTTGCACTCGCTGAAAAAAGAGATCTGGAATGTCTGAATAAAGATTGCGCAAGAGCATATCCAAACACAAGATGTTCCAAGCCAAGATGTGAAGGTATTTTTGAACATACCATTCTTGTACTCCTACTATCATAGCACGGTCATGACCCAAGATGCTTTGACAACTAACCAGACTGTTAGATGAGTAACCACTAAAAACTGATGAGCGGTGCTAAGGGCACCAGCTATTCATCTGAGGTAATCCAGCACTGCTTAAACCAGTGTTTCTCACTTGAAGATGTGTGGACTTCAACTCCTAGAATTCTCCAGCCAGCCATGCTGGCTGGGGAATTCTAGAAATTGAAGTCCACATACCTTCAAGTTCCCAAGGTTGAGAAACACTGACTTAAAAAAAGAAAGCTGGAGGGGAGAGAAGCTTGAAGTCTCACCTTCCATTCCATCAAAGATCATCTCATCGTTCCCTCTCCCTTTTATTCCTTTGCCAGCAACAAGGAGGTCCCATTGGCACGGACTCAATGAGTGAGCGAGCAAGTGAGTGAATGAGTGGATGTGAGGTGCTTCTATTGTTGTAATAAAGCTCTGAAAACCTGCTAGTAGTCTCCTGGATTTGTGGGGTGGTGTTTCCTGACTTTTTTCTGGTGCTGCATGAAAAGGTTCCTAATTCTATGTGCACTGTGCTTTTGCATCAGTCTTCATTCCTGGAGATGGTCTGGACAAGTCCCTGCAGTTTTCTTAACAAGATTTTGGAAGTGGTTTGCTATTGCCTGCTACCTAGGGTTGAGAGAGAGTGACTGGCCCAAGGTCACCCAGCTGGCTTTGGCAGGACAAGAACTCCCGGTCTCGAGGGCAAACTTCTTGGAACATTGATGGTTTTCATTCAGAATATATTGTTTTCTCTTCCATGTTCTTGAAAAGTATTAGAAAGTTTGAGCCAGGCCACAAAACAAGTCCTAGATGTCCATAGGCTCCAGCTGCTTCCATCAAATGACAGCATCATACTATAAGCTCCTTTTAGATATTTTTGACATGTCCTGACACATTACAAAAGGGAATGGGCTTTGCAGGGTGAGGACACAATGCTGCCTGATCCCCTTGCAGATATCCCTGAACCATGGGTACACCTTTTTTTCAGTTTTCACTTTTAAGTGGAAAGCTGAAGGCAACCTTTCAAAAAGGGTGAAGCCCGACAAATATTGACTTGGATTTCATTTAAATGTCATGTAAAGTTATAATTTAAAAATTATATACAATTAATAGGATTATTCTACGTTATGCAGTATATCAGTTTAGCCCTTCACAGGTGGTACTAGCAGCCCCTGACTATCCTTGGCAGATTTTGAAACGTTAAGCTGGACTGGACCTGTATAGTACAGTTGAGCCTTGATTTATTGGACCAGTTTAGCAGACTCGGGATGCAGTGGACAAAATCCATCTGCTTCTCTACGTGCATAAAATCCCATGCCATTTTACACATGCTTAAAATATATAAAATATGCGTGCATAATATCCCTGTTCAGATTTAATGGACTTTCTGTTTTAATGGACATTTCTCCTCCCAATTATTCTGTTAAATCAAGGGGAGTTACTATATATGGATGTGAAATCACCAGGAAATCCGGATGGCCTTGCAATGAGATGAAGCTTAACTAACAGTGTTATACAGCCTCTGGTACCAAGGTCTCTGTTTGAAAGCAGCCCAGCTGAAAGCAGTGAGACTGTACAGTATATCTGGCTATTTCTGCACCTTAAACCCTTGCAGACCAATCTAGATTACTGTCTCTCTTCACTACCTGGACCCTAATCGTAGTTTTCTTGTCCTTATTCTCTGGAGGCTCACCTAGTATTGAGATTGGCTTGGCTTTTAATTTCTGGACCAACTTGCTAATTAATTCTCTCTTAGTATGAATAACCCCTGAACTGTGTAATTTGCCACCCAGTCCCTAACCCACATCCAGACCAAGACATGTGAAATCAGTCATTGCACTTCACTGTGTTCCAAAGAACGTGACCTCCCTACTATCTTAACCAGAGCATTTGTAGATCCTTTCACATTTATCTTGGCGATCACAGGCTAATCATAGAAAACCAGATCTGGACAGGATCTTATGGCTCATTTTGTATTCTGCTGGAAAAGGTTGTGCTGTATTTGCAGAGGTATTGTGTTTATGGCTTGGCTTTTTTCTTATAGTTCAAAGTGGTGTACATGGGGATTGCCCCTCATTTTACCCCATCCTAGTGTGGGTATGACTATTATTAATTACATCTGTAGGCTGCCAAATCAGACTCCTGGCTGTTTATAACAAGATCAGATATAGTCAAGCAACCTTAGTAAAGAAAAACAATTCCAATAAAACAGCCATGGTTAAGAAAAATAAAGAAATGTAACTCACAACCCTAATAGAATCCAAACCCCAAAACAAGTCACAGAATCAAAAGCAACAATAACCATTTTTAAGAAACCATAATAATGAGAGCAAACAATCACATCTCCAAAGCCTTGCAAAAGAGTTCAGTCTTCAGTAGGTTCTGGAAGGCCATGGGACGGGATTCTATATGCTTGTGCCATGGTTAAAAGCAAGCGAGGATGTAGTCTTTCAAGATAGTTTGCTCTAAGACAAAAATAATGGGTGACAGAGCCTAACAGGTTTGACCCAGTTTGAGGCTGCTTTTGACTGGGGTGGGGGGGAAGGTGAAAATATTACTTTAGTACGGGTATAGCTAAGGATGGCTTAAGTCTATCTCCCTCATGGACTGGGGACAAATTGAAAGCAGCTTCATGGGGACAAAGCTGAAAGAAGAGGTTGCCAAGGAATGGTTGTGCCAGGGTGAGGACCACATGAGGACGCAGTCTTAAAAAGAGTTGATCTAAAAGAAAGTGTTCGGCCCAAAGTCACTCAGTGATCTCTGTAGTTGAATAGGGATCTGAAGTTGGGTGTTCCTGTCCAACATCTTACCCTACCCTGGTTTTCTTTGGCACACCACACTTCTGCAATAACTTAGCTTATACAGTCAAACCACAGCTAATACTAATCCTGAATGCTTCAATTAAAAAGCTCCAACCCCAATGTTTATGGTATAAAATTTTAAATTATCAGATGGTGCTCACATGCATACAGCCTCATGCGACGTCATCTCACAGGAAGTGCTCCACTGGTTTTCTTTGATATGTCACTAGTGGTGAGCATAAGACTCAAATACTTTACTTCTGCATTGAACTTATACTGCTCTGTGGAAGTTCAGGCTTACAGAGGAAGAATAAATAATCAGATAGGGCAGTGTTTCTCAACCTTGGCAGCTATCAGATGGGTGGACTTCAACTCCCAGAATTCCCCAGGCAGCAAGGCTAGCTGGGGAATTTGGGAGTTGAAGTCCACCCATCTGATAGTTGACAAGGTTGAGAAACGCCGAGATAGGGTCTATTGTATCTCACTCAGATCTTTCCCAGAAGAGCTCAGCACCCTGGCCAGCTCCCTGCCAGTTGGAGAGATGGTACCTCAAGGCAGAACTGAGGGTATCTGAAACTTTATATAAACTGCCAAAAGCTATATTGTAGTTTTCTTCTTATCAGCGTGTGGAAATGGTAGAAGGACTATATACTCAAGTGTGGAAGACCTGACCGTGAACAATCCTGGTTCATATGTAAGGCCACTCAAGGAAGGAACTAGCCAGGAGCACAGAAAGAGAGCTGTTGCTTCAGTAGTGGTTAGCTTCTGAGTGACTTTATATGATAGGAAAACCTGCACCCATTCAGAAACCAGCTCGGCTAAAGACCAGTCAGAAGTCAGGACACTTGGCTATAAAAACAGGAGCCCAGTCAGTCCTTGCCTAGTTGCCTGTGGTCTGCATAACAGACCACCTTGCCTCTTAAGATGCCAACCACAGTTGCTGGCAAAATGTCAGGAAATCTGTTGTCTAGACCAAGGTCTCTAAAACTGAAGCCCCACACTGTCCAACTGATAGGCCTATCAATTGGGCCGTGTTGGGCTTCAGGTTTAGTGACCATGGTCTAGAGTTCCTGCTCTATTTCTTCCTAATATAGCATTAGGGCCATGATCCACAGCCCATTTTCTTCTCACGAGTACGATACAGTGATATTAGATGGGCATTGTGATTTGAATTCTGGATTGACTGTCTTCTTTCTCCTGATGTTTTGAGGGGTGACCCTAAGAGGTCTACAGCAGCATGATGAGACCAATACAGCACGTTGGTTCATTCTCTGCCTTTCTGAATTCCTCAAATGGTGGTCTTAGGAGTGTTATCAGTGTTCTCTAATGTCACTTGATCCCTCCCCCATCACACATGCACACAAAAGACAGTAAGTGAATCTTGCAGACTCAGGGTGGATATGCCCCCTCCCAGGAAACAGGAAGGTCAAGACAACAACTGCATTTTATATGGCATCATTTTATAGCAAAGATGCCTGGGTGTACAGAAAAAGAAAGGTAATTGATCTGGCTCCCAGAAGAAATAAAGAAAGAGAAATCTAAGTCAAGAGCCTAATGTTTCAGCTTCCTCCTTGGATATAGTAAAAGCACTTTCTCCCAATGGAATAGCAGGGAGAGAGAGAGAAAGAGAGTAATCAAAAGCTTGAATTTGGAACACAACTGGCTTTCAGAATGACACGCACAGTATAATGAGATCTGTAGAAAACTGTTGATGCTCTTTCAGAACCAGTTGAATGTTTTGTATTGCTTTGACTTTTCTGCATCTGGCCCTCCCTCCCTTTTACACTGAGCTAAGAAAACATAATTCTTTGCAGACAGTCCAGAACTCTAAACCTTTTCTCTGGAGTATCTAGCAAGGTTCTGGCTAATATTTCTTTTCCTTGAGATTAAACAAAACCCACTGCAAAGTTTAAAAACTCCCTGCCTCTCTTGAGAATATTATGACAGGCATTGTTTAAATGGCCAATGTCAAACTAAAGCAAAATAGAATAAACCCGCTGGTAAAATGCAGCCTTTCACGTAAACGTTTTGCAAGTTCCAGAAGGATTGCAGCATGCTAAGTAAAAACTTATTGTTCTCCTGGGAAGTCCATCTCAAAATTAGCAGCAAATTTAGTTTTCCCTGTCAGGACTGCAAAAGGTTTAGTCTGCCAACACCACTTCTAGGGCCCCAGCAACCCTATGAGAGAGTGAAACCAAAAGATTTATCCTTGTTTGAAAACATGTTTAGTTTTGGGGGGATTTTAAAGGGAGTAAAACCTCCACATGAACTCCCACCTTTTGATTCTGGCCAAACCCATTTTGGAATGGGACCTTGGAGTGCCATGCAAAGCCCAGTATGGCTTCTTTGCTGATGGTTGTACTTGCCTTCCTTGAGTTCAAGTTGCACACCCACCATTTCAGGGGAGCCCAGAACCCTGAATCAATGCTTGAGCCCTGTAATGGGTTTCCTAGTCTGGTCTACCTCAAAGGGCTGACATCAGTCTTGGAAGATCGATGATCAGTCTAGGAAACCCATTACTGGCCCTTAGCCCTTCTAGTGTGGCTTTTAGAATAAATCAACGGGCTGATCCACATGACCAGCCGATTCCAGCACAAGGACAGACTTCTAAGCATTTCTCAAGGGCAGGAAGGCATGATATCATCAGCCCCAAGCCCACTAGAAAGACGAATTCTTCCTATCTTTTCATTTGTACATCAAAAACCACTTTCTTCTACTTGTGTGACACAAGCAGCATTGTCAATTTGTCTGCTGGGCTTAATTTCATTGGAGGCAAATGCATTTGACTACTAAGCATGATGCCAAAACACCCCCTCCCCTCTAGTTACTGCCCTACACACTTTTTTTTTTTTTTTTACTAAGTTCACAGCTGGAGCAGTGGAGCTAAGAAATTGTCCTTCCTTCCTTCCTTTTTCTTTTTCTCTCCCTCTTTCCTTCCTTCCTCCTTTCTTTTCTTCCCTCCCCCCTCCTTCTCTTTCTTTTTTCTTTCTTCTCTCTTTTGCTCCTGCCTGCCTGCCTCGCACCTCCCCTCCCCTCCCACTAATGCAACAGGGGAGCAGGGAAATAACCTACTTCTCCTTTTTAGCATGAAGCCCAAACACCCCCTCCTCTCTAGTTACTGCCCTACGCACTTTTTTTTTTTTTTTTACCAAGTTCACAGCTGGAGCAGTGGAGCTGAGAAATTGTCCCTTCCTTCCTTCCTTCCTTCCTTCCTT